AAGAAGCTAGAGATGCGTTCTGTTTTTAACACTGTGAAAGTGTCATCCACATATCTCCACCATATTTTCGGAGTAGGGTTAAATGTATTGAGGGCACTATTTTCCCGGATTTTAAGTGATGAGAAATGTGTGTAAGGCATAATTGTACCTATTTACAGAGAAATCCTAAGTAAACAGCCCTTTATATCAATCTGTTAGATGGTGACTAGCAATGGAATCCACCAGGATGTACATTTCGTTCTATTTGGGACTCATGGTCAGCTGGATGTACCTACATTTTCCAGTGAGTGAGAGAGAGTTAGTGATGGTGCTCCCACCGAAACTCGAACCCAGTGTCCTATTCATTCTTTCTTCCGTTATTATGTTGTTGTTGTTGTTGTGTATGTCTTCCTTCAAATTCTAGTTTATATTCATATTATTACTTAGAAATCTTTTTAATGTGAATCCCCTGTTTAATTATTTTCCCTTGAATTATATAATGCGAAAATCTCATGCAATATTGTATTATATAACGAAAACTTCACACTGTATCAGAAATAGTATTTGGAATAAAGCCACTATTATTATTAACTTCAAAAGGTAGCTTTCACAACTATATATTTAATACGTCCTACTTTTCGTAAATGAATTAAGAAGTGGTCCCGGCTTCCCACTAGAACCCCAGATCGCTGCTTGGAAATTCATCTGATGCTCACAAGCGACTGATCCTTTTCAGGCAGTTAACCTGGTATTCTAGTGGGAAGCCGGGACCAGTAGGGTGCGGCACGTTGAAGGTGAGGCAGTGACTCATAGAAGAAGACATCGGCTAGTGGTTGCGCTATGTCATGAATTGGCAGAAGTTAGAATTCATGGGTTGGCCATTGGATAGGATCACACTGGCTGCCTAACTGTCTACGAGCTAGCTCGTATTGTAACCAGAAGGTCCTGGACTCGAACCCCGGTTTGTGCGTAGCGCTGAGGAGTCCCTAACTAGAATGACAAAATAGCTATTCAGTACTCCCTGCAGGTTTTCCAATAGTTCTTTAACTGATGTCAGCTCATGATGAAATCCTCCAACCATTCTAGATCTAGCTAAATTTTCATGTTCCGGTAATCTAATTAACTTACCCTGATCTACTGGATTGACCTATGATATTATTTACCTTACAGTCGTTACATGGTATCTCATAAATTTTATTAATTTTCTTAACTGGATCTGTCGACTTATTAAGCTGATAAAGTTTTCCCGTGAGAGAGTTGGTTAGTTGGTTTAAATGCCAGCCTTCTTCTAGTCTGATTCCACATAAGACTGTTGATGTTCCATTTTTATACAACAGTACTATAGAAGCTTTGAATTCCTTGTTATTTCTTGAACAAATTTTGATGGGTAGTGTATTATTCACTAGTAATATTTAGAAATGGTCTTTGTTAATTATCGCCTATTATCATAAAATTACTCGTTTCTTGCCCTGAATGCAGCCGACATGAACTCTACTCCATTCTGTGCCGTCACTTTCAGCTGGTTCTATGACTGGCTAAAAGTTTTCACACGTTTCTCACATAATTTTCTCAGCCGCATGATTAGCTCACCATTTGTCATTTGAATTCGGCTCGAGAAACTTCACAGTGTGCGTAATGTTACTTAAGTGTCTTCTCAAAGCATGTTCAACCCCGCCCCCTCCCCGCCTTGTTTCCTTCTGTAAATTCTTTGAGCAATATAAATTTGTCTGGTTTCTTATCAGTGTTCTTCTTTGTTGCTTGCTTGTCCCTATTTTTGATTATAGCTTGATACAAGTGTGAAATGTGATATCGGTAGCCCAAATTTTGCAGACCGGCCATTGATATCAGATGTGCGTCATCAGGGGATCAAACCACAGACCATGTGACTGGTAGGCAAGAGTCTTAACCGCTGTACCACCGACACTCAATAAAGGGAGGACCGTCAGACCTCCCCAATTACAAAAACCACATTCCTCGAGAGCAACCGATTAGGGCCCGTCACTAGTTTCAACCCACCGAACTGCAATGGTGAGCCTCCACCCAGGGTCAGAGCATTCTTGATCACCCTGAACCCAGCGACTGAACAACTATATGAAATCCTTAATTTGAAATTAGTGCTCAAAATTCCAATTATTGTCTTCGTGCTAAGTGCTTCAGATCTTCGAACATATTTTCTAACTTCCCTGATCATAAGTGGTTTTAACACACTCCCCCATGACTCCACTAAGTGGAATGGTCCTACGAAGAAACAGGCAAAACAGATGACTTTCTAAAGATCTCCTCCACCGATGGATGGTGCTCCAGTAACCTAATGGATTGTTTCGGCAGTGTACAATGCACCAGAGTGGTTACCCTATATGATCATAATCTTGTGAATGGCTGAGATGAATTTTCATTTCTCTATCAATAGGTATGCCTTTATGGAAATTTGAACCACGCCTGGTTTACTATTCTGTCGTAAGCCTGGTAAGGTGGAAAGGTTCGCCGGGTGGTTATCAATCCCACCTTGTGAAAACGCAATCCCATCACTATTGAAACTTCATGGAAAAGATAAACCAGAAAACTGCTTATTAATTTAGTGATACCCAGCCCTAATTATTTAAAAAACATCCTGTCAAACTACAAGATAGTATTTCAAGTAAGAGGAATACATTCATTTTCAGCAAATCCAGTATTTAATATTATAACAATATACAGCGCATTGGGTGGCACAGCAGCAGAATGCTCGCCGACCAAACATGTGGTCGTGGGTTCGATCCCCAGTCACCGACGCACTCTTTACCTCGCTAAGCCAGTAATAAGACTGATAAAGATGGAAGGTTGGGCATGGGGCTAGAAACCCCATCCCGTAGAAATAAGCACCACTGCTACCGAAACTTCAAGCCTCTATCTTGAAGCCACCCTATGTTCCACTGGGAACATAAAGGAATAAAAAAAAACAATATAGAACGGTAGAATGAACGTGTTAGATGATCCACAACGAAAAACTCAGCGAAGCGGAAATGACAGGAATATGCTGGCCCGATTATAAGACTCTAGACGAACAGCATTTGACTCGTGGACGATTTCTTTTTTAAGGGCCACAGAAACTCTGAAACTTAAAGGTGAAAATTAACAACAAAACTGGTAGAAGAGGCAGGCAGTGAAGTCACGACACCATGTGAACATAGAAAAGACAGAGGTGATGAAGATGACCAGTCACCATCAGTGGAAGAAATTTGGAGGTGGTCACTCCCATCACTTGTGTCGTCAGGCGACAGCATAGATGAGAATGCCAAAGCTGATCGGAATCGGAAAGACAAGATACACTTTCATCAGTCTGAGATGAATTTGGAGATGTTCTCCACTCACCTCAGCATGAACAGCAAGATTCGGATTTTCAACACCAGTTTTTTTTTATGTCAGTTACTCAATCAATGAGTGAGTTCGCCTCTTTGTCAGAGAATTGACCATCGCGTTCCAGTAGGCTACTGTGAACCTTTATGAACAGCTTCCCCATTCACGACTCCATATTGAAGATCGAATGGTCAGCCGGTGAGAAAAAAAATCAGCAAAAAGAATCCCTGGGGAAAAAACTAGCCAAGAACGTAGCGCTCAATAAATATTCTGTAGAAAATGTGGTTAGATTGGGCAAATAGATATGCTGAGGAGAGCACTGCCGAATGATATCGCTTGCCAGACCATCGTTCGATTGAAACTTGAATTAGAAACGATGAGTTTAGCGTTGGTCTGAGAATGACGTGAAGCAGATAAGAGAATATGGATAAGCCCCGATCGATAGCTGCTACCTTGACGTGGTGGTCGGGCTTGTATATCACGATGACCCAACATGCTATACTGGCTGGAACCAATGTTCCTACAGGTCCTACCATTCCAGGAAGATTGTTAGAATAGAGATTAGACTAAAAGCAGTTACCGGCATAGTGTAAGAATCTTTCTTACACTATGCTGGGAGTCTGTGGGCGAAGTCGTACTGCTGAGGAACAGAGGTGTAACAGTAGTGAGGTGTTTCTCTCAGATGACCAGCATGCCACAGAGCTATGCTGTCTCTCCACTCCGGAAGGAGGGGGTCAGAAAAGGTCGATCCCAAAAATTGTACATTCTGACTTACCCCACCTACGGTGGTCTGTAACCGGCGGTAAGTTTACTAATATGAAACCAATCCCAATCTGTCATCTCGAGCCGTGGATGTACGTTGTGTTACTGAGATGGTTAGGACATGTGTTACTTATGCCTAGTCACCGCCTTTCTCGATGGTCATTGTTAGCTGACATAGGGTCAGGCTGGAAAAGAGCTAGTGGCGGTCAAACCAAAACATGGCTTTGCCAGTCAATGAAATCCACAACAGTTAGTTTAAGCCTGCCAGGTAGGAAGGTGTAGACTTCCTGGTTGGGGTCCTCGGGACGGTAAAAACCAGTGCAGGCTGGAAACAATTGATGACATGGCTCAAAATCGTTCTCAATGGCTGGCGCAGATGTATCCACTCCTTGTGACTTATAATTTCCAATAAAACTATATTGTTCTTAATTATTACTATTCCTTTGTCTCATCTCTGTTTACTGTCCCTATTATGCATTTCTCCTACTTTCTTCTGTTGCTTTGTGTGGTGCATGGAGTGTGGCGACTTGAACTGGTGCACATCGGTGCAAAGTTCTATGTCGAAAACAGACAGACAGACAGACCGACACATGGATAAATGTGAGCCAAACTGATGAAGAGGATCGCAGAAAATATGATAAAATGGAGAGATTGACACGTTGAAGACGCCCATTCCACTTGGAACTCAAGGGAACGATGATAATGACAATAATAATGATAATAGTGATAATTAAAGAATGTTTCATTTTATTTATTAATTATTCTTACAATATATAATAAATTAAAAGAAATTCAATAAATCAGAAATCAAAAGTTATGCAAGAGTAAAGTGAAAAAAGAAACGAAAACAACCTCAGGGATACTTGAATATGATTTCATCACTTATATTGACTTTAATTTCAAACAAAGTGAACTTGTCATTTTCATTGTATCTCACTGTAATCCCCCGTGTAGTCAATACAGGTAGAATTAGCATGAATTGTATTCATCATTAGTCTACATGAGTCATAATATTCGCCATCTGGATGAGAATTACAATAAGACGAATAATGATGATGATAAGAATATGGATCAATCTGTAGACTGTCTTTGTTACTATCATTATTATTATTATTATTAACGTAATTGGATGAAGTGAAATTTCTTTCTTCATCATTGAATCTTGATACTTTTGTTTTATTCAACCAATTTTCAAGGTGATTTACTTCTATTGGTTGATTATTTTTATTTTCAGTAGTATAGTAATTAACAGGTAAATTAGTTAAGGTTGAATTATTCATCCATTCATCTATTTCTGCTTGATTATGCTGATGAATTGATAATGATGAATTGATATTTTGAGAATAATAACAATAACAACCATAGTAATAATAATAATAATTTTGATTTTTTATTAAATCTCTACACTTCGATGAACACATTTGTTGTTGTTGTTGTTGTTGTTGTTGTATAGATGGAGAAAGTAGAGCAGTTTGTTGACAGTCAAAATTATCAATCAACCGTTCTGTATTGGTTAATTTACTTTCTAATCCATTTGACCTCATTAATTCTGTTGATAATTTTTCAGTTTGATGAACACTACCATTCATCATTGGACTGTTTATCCACCAGGAATTGGTAGTAGTTGCTGTTTTTGTTGGTGGTGTTGTGGTGGTGATGGTTGTTGATTTTGACGACATCAACAGTGATGAAGATGAAGAAAGTAAGATATCGTCTTCAATCGATGATGTCCTCTTCTCCTCCTTGACCTTTGTCTCCACTTGCGCTTCAACCTCTGCCTCGAACTTCGCTTCCGCCTCCTCCCCCTGCTGTTTGTCAAGTGTATAATGCTTTAATAATCGTGATGGATCACTATGAAGAGCAGCTGCAATCTGATTTGTTGTAATCTGTGATAAACCATGACATAAGTATTTGATAATATCTGTGATCGAATCAAATTGTATATTATTCAATATAGAGGCTAACAGACCAATATAATTACAAGCTAGTCGAAGTGTTTCAATTTTACTCAATTTTTGACCAAATTGATGTAAATTGGACATATTTTTATTATTGTTATTGTTTGTTGTGGCGCTGGTGTGACTCATCTGATCAGTTACAGTCTTTGATTGTCGATGTTTCTGTTCATTGCCCATCGTAGTATGATTCACTTGGATCCGGGAATGTGTTCCATCACAATCCAATGAAATATCTCCATTCACTAAAGCCGACGGTAGTATATGTTGTCTTAAAGTATCCAAAGCAGAATTCAACCCATGCATTCGACTACGTTCACGTGCATTTGCTCGAGCTCGTCTCATTTTCATGCGTACTAGACGTTCTTGTGAATCAGGCTTTTTCTTTTTTTTAGGACCACGACGTCTTATACCAGTTGAAAGGATGATTGATGATGATGTTGATGTTGATGATAATGATGATGAAGAAGGTGGTTCATTAAAGTTGAAATCATCAATGACGGCTTCAGATGTACTGTAGTTTTGATTGCCTTTTGTTGGTTTGATCACAGCAAGACAATGAGGAGATTGAATTGATGCTGAATAGGTTAAAGGATTGTCGTTTTGTTTTAATTTTTCAGGTAATAAATTTAAAATGTCGGATTATATTGATCTTCGTTAATTTTATGATTATAAGGATAGTTTGGCAGTAATCTGATAACATCGTCTGTATCCTTGAATACTGACGGGAAGGAATTTTCCGGTTGATCAGTAAATATATCTGACTGATTGAAACTGGACCAGTTCATCGGATTCATTGTCCCGCCGCATTAGTTATCTTAGTGAAAGGAAACAGAATAAATGAAAAGACAACATATTAATATATTAAAACAATTAATCCCTTTGATAAATTTGAATAAGACATTTTTTCTCCTTCACGTCCCCCAGTGGAACATAGGGCTTCAAGCTAGTGACTTGAAGATACTGTAGCATGGTTTATTTTACAGGATGGGGTTGCTAACCTCATGCCCAACCTTTCCTCTTCACCAGCATTATTTCTGGCTTAGCAAGGTAAAGGAATGCGTCAGTGGCCGGGGATTGAACCCCGGACCATGTGCATAGTCGGCAAGCGTCCTAACCGCTATGCCACCGACGCTTTAAGAAGAAGACGAATTTCGCGAGATGATATCATTTTGTAGTTTCTTTACAACCACTTTACAACTAACATGGTTAACAATAATAAAATAAAGTTCATGACAATTACTCAGTTAAATAATCTTCCCCTAGCATGGACTACATGATCTATTTAAACATGAGTGGTCATTAGTATGCACTTTTGTTTTTTTATTTAACTGAGTAATTGTCATGAACTTTATTTTATGAGTTGTAAAGCGGTTGTAAAGAAACTACGAAATGACGATATCATCTCGCGAAATTTGTCTTCTTAATGCCTTATTCATATTCATATATGTGTAAAACTTGGGCATTGTAGTAGTAAGTAATTCCATATTGGTTTGTTTATTAAATGTATCACACAGTGAAACACTATTATTACATACTGGATGACAAGGTTTCGAACAAAATTTATTGTGGTTCATAATCATATCATCAATTGTAATCACACAACTTCGAAACTTGAGTTTTATAGTTTCTTTGTCCTCTCCTATTTGTCGTCTTGGGGTAGTAGAATTTTCCAGATATCAGGGACAGGTAATGAATCATTCCTATTACATGTATTTGCAGCTGATTCGATAAACAAAGCTTCTGTTATCAATCTCTCTCTCCCCACCCTGTGACATTAGATTTTAAAATTGACATCTTATCTTGTGGAGAGAGATGGCTGCTAGCCAAATTGGTAGACAGTAATTGACGTCAATGTTTACATCCCAAATATTAGTCATGTGAAAACAAGAACAAAGACTGACAGCAGACGGATACAATCGGCAGATAGATGATCTGAAACTCAAGTAACAGCCACAAAGAGATGAAACATCAACTTTTAGTGAGAAACAACCAATCAAAAACTGTGTTTGTCAGCTAACAATAATCTCTAATAATGTACATGAAAATCTATAAATATGTGTTGATTTCCAGAATAAACGATCTGTCGCTTGACTCTTACCTTCTGTCGTTACATTCTCATCCTATTGTATAGTTGTTTATAACTGCATGTAGTGCTATGGCTGAACTACTCTCGAGATTTCTTATCTTATTTGGGTCAACCAATCTAGATTTTGCTGCTAGGTTTTTATTCTCCGCTAGTCTGACTGACCCTGTTCTACTTCTTTGATCTATGTATTGACCTGACAGTCATTGCAGTCAGGCAGGGTATCAAATGAACTAAATTGTTTTGTTTTAAAGGTCCCGACAGAGCTTGTTTCTAATCGAGTATTTGGGTTTGAATGCCACTCCTGCCATTCCTGCCTACTTTGTTAAGAATTCTGCGTAAGGTTTCCGAGGTTTCTTCGTTGGATGGAATTACTACTGATGATTTAGATTCCTTATTTTTGGTGTTGTCTTGCGTATGTTTGACATGCATGTCGTCATTGATATTATTATTATTATTATCACTATCACCATCATCAATATCACAACATATCAACTTAAATTTACAAGGCATATAAAAATTTTGATTAGCAAGGATTTTATTTCACTGGAACCATTGGAAAACCACCAAGAACAGCTACCTGTCTCATCACCCCTGTTCGGGTTTATTCTTCAACAGTACACACGCACCCACCAACGAGTTTCGTACCCAAAACCTTCCAGATACTGTGATAACAGAAGACAAGGGCCAGGCAACTGATCGTTTTATTATGAAAATCAACACGTATTTATATATATATTTCACATACATTATTATAGCTTATGCAAGTAGACAAGCGCAGTCATCTGATTGGTTGTTTATCAGAAGTTAAGCAGACAAACGCAGGCTTCTGATTGGTTGTTTCGGGATTCCTCGACAAATAGAGTTCTCTATCTGCGAATCATATTTTGCCACGTTAAGTCTGCTATGATTGGTTGTTGAATCAGCCATGTACATATTTTCTCACGGCCTGCTCTCACCACAATAACAAAGTGATGAGCTCGTACCAGCATTAAGCAGCCACTGAGATCCGATTCAATGGCTAGTCCATGCATTCTAACTTCTACCAATTCACAATATAGTTAATGTCATCGATGAGTTGTTGTCCTTCCACCCGATTCGCTGTACTGTACTCCATTGGTCACAAAATCCCACTAGAAGGATCCAAATAACTACCTACCTAAATAGGGTCTGCAACTAGTGAGCATCAGGTTCACATTCAAGGGTTGTTCTGCAAGGATTTGATTGTAAATTAACAGCTTCAGTCTATTACAAGCATTACAACAAGACATAAATGAACAATAGTGTTTTCTTATTTCAGTTACATCTCCAGGCTTTACTCTAGTTTACATAGCGTTATGTATAAAAAAACATTTGTTCAATGACAGTGTTTGTGGATCAGAGTAATCATAATCAATCAACTTTGTTAAATATATTGACGACCTTACTGTCTCGTTTCCAATTACTTCTGAGCTGATTACTTCAAACTCAATAGCTTACTGTTTGGTATTAGTCATTGGTCTAAGCTCCATGGTTTTATGTTAAATCTCTCTACTAAATGTTAGACAAATAACTTCATCTTCAAGGATAAACATGATCTATGCAACGGATTCATTCACAAGATCCTACTTGTCGCTTAAAAATCAATGGAATAGAAATTAAGTCAAGCACTAAATATTATTGCGATAGTTCTATCAACTAAAATTTCTTTTCTACAGTTTGGTCTGTAAGGGTAAGTTTTGTTTTTTCGAGTTGAACACGGATTGATATCACAGTTAGAGAATCATTGAAAACCAATCACAGGGAGTACTGGACAGCTACTGTTTCATCCACTAGTTTGGGAATCATCGGCAATACGCCCCACCTACCACGAGGGTTCGAACCCAGGAGCTTCCGGTTACAAGGCAAGCTGGCTCGTATACCATTCAGCAGTCACTGGGACTTGATTCAGTGACTACCAATTCGTGATTTAACGCGGTCCCAACCATTTTCGTAGGTGGAACATCCATTCTCACACGTGACATCTAAATGAACCTCACTGGTCACGACTTCTCACTAGAACTCAGGAAACTTCAACCTATGCAAGTCACTAGGGAGAATCAGATTAATTTTCTATAGTTTGTTTTGTAAGGGTTAGTTTTGTTTTTTTCGAGTTGATCATGGAATCGCGAATTGGCAGAAGTTAGAATTTATGAGCTAGCCACTGAACCGAGTCCCAGTGGCTGCTGAATGGTATACGAGCCAGCTTGCCTTGTAACCGGAAGGTCCTGGGTTCGAACCCTCGTGGTAGGTGGGTGCGTATTGCCGATGACTCTGAAACTAGGATGAAACAGCAGCTGTCCAGTACTCCCTGTGATTGGTTTTCAATAGTTCTCTAACAAAACTTTCTTTGTCACTCCATATCCTGTCTATTTCTAAGAAAATGTTGTGACTAACTTACTACATTAAGAAGTTAAGACAATCTGGAATTACTCAACCTTTGTTTACTTAACAGCTTGTTAACTCTTGCATTTTACCAAATATATTTTAAGGATCCACTCAACGTAGTCTTTCCAGGCCTACTGAAAATGGACTATATTCCATTATTGAGAAGAAGGGTATTAAAGGTTATTAAGAGGTAAGTTGTGTGCCATTAAGTCTGTCAGCTCGTTACTATCAATAGTCGACTGACATCTTAATTCATGTGACAAATGGTCCAAATCCATATTGTCTGACTCTTCAACACCCTCTTTTGTTCACAACTCTCTCTCCATCTCTCTAGCCATTAGTTTTATTTGGAAGCTGGACTAGAAATCCCTATAAAAGATTATTTGCTATCATTAACGAGTTCAAAATGTCAACGATACCCTATTTGGCTCACTTGCCAAGTCGTCTGTGACAAAGATCGTTTTAAACGTATTATTAGCACAAAAAATGGCTTAGTTATTCTCCCATGGGATACCATAAATTACTGGGGATCAGTGTCAGGGTCGGAGTATTTCACAAAACTGTGCGAAATTCCATTAAGTCACATGCTGTAGAATATTATTCTACTTGAAGATTGCGCATAAGTAACAGAAGAGATCAGGCTGAAAAGTCTCTACCGTACAGAAACATCATGTTCAGAATAAAGTTATTTTTCTTTATTAATATGACAGTATCCAGATAACAACTCTTGGATAGAAAGACTAGTGAGTCTTCGACTCCATTAGCAACCACTAACAAACAAGTAAATCAGCTATATAAGTTTGAAATGATAGGACAGATGAAGATTTCAAAGCCAGTATCAGAAAGGCAAGTC